ACACTTACGATGACATTTTCGTGGCCATTCGTTTATGCCAGCTGATCGAGTTTTTGGTCAAGTTAAGCCAAAATTACGTGCCCATGCTTTTATAAACTCACTAGAAAAATATTATGAAATCTATTCTAAGAAAGAGCAAGTGCGCAAGCTGGGAAAACTGGATAACTTATTAAAATTTTTAGTTAGTCTATCAGGCAAAGAATGGGCATTAGATCCAGAATTTACTTGGTTAGATCAAATTTTGAAGGATCAGTATGGTGAAAATGTAATTGAAAAAGACCAGACCTGCGATCAATGTGAAGATGGAGAAGAATGCTGCTGTCTTCTGGAGGACAACATACATGTCATATGATTTTTTTACTACAGATATTGCTTTACAAACACGAATTTTCAGTTCATATTTTGATTTTAATCACTTAGGGAAAATAAAATCACATTTTGTCCTTCAAAGACAATCAAATGGCGTTTTGTCCATCATTAAAATTTTTTTTTTTTTGAAAAACTAATAAAGCTTGTTGTTTCTTATAAATAGGGTAAGTTAATAATAAAAAATTACATTTTTTCATATTTTGTGTTTTATTTTTAACTTTATTAACAATCGAGTAGCAGTTTTTCTTGTTTCCTGAAAAATTTTAAAAATGGACAAAGTGCGATATGACAGTCTGCTCCTCATATATATATATATATATATATATATATATATATATATATATATATATATATATGTATATATATATATATATATATATATATATATATATATATTACTAATTACTAATACTAATATTACTTAATTCATTAATAATCTTTCTGCTCGTAAAATAAGCATTTTTATACTGTATTATATATGTAATTAAGTTCATTCGTAATTATTCATAATTATAACTAAAAACCATCAACTAATGAACAAGAGATCAAAATAAATTAGTAATGCCTGTTTCCTGCTGTTAATGCATTATTTTAAATATATTGTCTTAGATAGCAGTACAAAGAAACAGCAATGTTTATTTCATTTTCAAAGATATTAGTTATTATACCTTGGGACAATTCGAATATAAGATTGAATCAGATTTACGGGCTTCTCTTAGTCCTTCTGGGCATTAGCTTTATTTTACTGATATCTTTTATTGTCATAAGTCACTATCATTTTAGATATATATCAGTATTGTTAGTGCATGGCGTCAGTATGACAGAGGTAATTATAATAATCAACAAATCAATTTTTTCGCAAAGAAGCGATTGGAACAGTCTCTTACATAATATTTTAAATAAGAACAAAAGATACCTTTGGGAACAAATAGTGTTTCATACTATATTTTTGCCTCTATTATATATTCAAATGCAGGAAGCTTTAAGGTATATATCAATTGAGTCTTTTATAGTATTGTTTATCATTGATAAATATGTATCCGTATATTCGACCCTTTTATCTGGACATCTAGCTTTAATCTTTAGACACCAGCTTAACAAATTAACGAAAGAGATTAGTAGTATTCCATTAGAACTGCTCACAAGTAAAAGCTTAGTCGAGAAATTAAAAGCTACAGCTAAAGATTACCTGTTAATAACGTATCATGTAGAGTGTTTTAATAAGATATTCGGTATTCGCGCTTTGCTTAATCATTTTTACTTGGTGCTTCAGCTGGTCAGTAACGTGCATGTATATATTCTTTATGGTTCTCTGCTGTTTAAGGATAAAGTACCAGTTGAGCTTTTTAATTACTTGGCTCCAGTTATAATAAATTCGGTAAGATATACGTATATATTAATAAGAATTTCAGGAAGAATTTTCAAGAAAGCGTAGAACGCTCAAGATAACTATAGGTATCGTAAAGAGAAATAGTGCTTAATCTATAAAGAGACTGTGAAATTAATTATTATTTAACTGGAAATAAGTCACAATTATAGGTTAAAATACGTTTATTGATGTTTCAATTTCCACTTCGGAAATCGTTCTCAAAATTTTGAGAACGATTTCCGAAGTTGAAATTAAAACGTCAATAAACGTATTTTAACTTTTAATTGTGGCTTATTCCCAGTTAAATAGTAATTAATTTAAAATGCCACAATAAAATAGCTTCAAAACAATATTAAGAGACCTGTGGATAGGATCATATATTCTTCTTATAGTGCCTATCCGTATCAGATAATGGCGGCCATCATGGCAATCTGTATTTTGCAAACTGCGACTCTGAAAAGATTTGCGGTTTCTTTGTTGAACCACGTACGTAGATTTTTTAGCCAGGAAATTCTTCGCCTTCCTGTCCGCGTTTTCCTTCTACTTTTCTTTGAAGAATTAATTGCAGCAACCCATATATTTCGCTGTCACTCATAACATGACCGAGGTATTAATCAATTTTGGCTGTTTTTATTGCGGCTTAATTTTCTTACAGGTAGCGTCTGCGATAGTCTACAACTCATCTCCGTACAACAAGAGTTTTATGGCAAAAATACATTTTTGTACATATGGCCAATAAGATCATTTGGCAAACAATATATTTAAGAGCTCGTTTTTATTGTCCTTTAATAACATGTAAATGTTGAAATTTCTCAGTAACTGAACTAAAGTCTATTTGATGATTTTAAATGGCTTTTGAGTTGAGTAAATAAGCATCAGGTGTGGTTTCACAGTAGAAGAATTATTTCGCGCAGCAGCCGACAGAGAAAGGTTTCAGGAAATTGTAAGCATGATGACGGCCAACGTCTGAATACGGACACGGCACCCAAAGAAGAAGAAGAAGAAATAAGCATCAACCTAAATGGTCATCCGCACAAATTATTGTTTATAGGTTGGTATTTTTCAGTGGCTAACGATAACAGAAAATTAGCTGTTAGTCTAAAATTAATATTTTAATGTAGCTAATCTCTTACAGGAAATCCACTAATTCTTAATCATTTTTTTTAATTACAGTTCCGCCATACTTTTTAAGTTAAAGTTGAATTTTGGTTTTGTATGTTGTTTTGTCAAACGTAATTTTGGCAGATTTTAATACATACTGTCCAATCGGTATGCGTTTATCTGTCAACCTTCCTTAAATTCTAGCAAAATTCCACGCATTTGTTGAACTTTTGTTAATTATTTCGGAATTGCCTGAAAAAATGTACGCTGGGCTCACTTTTCCAATCATTTAACAAACATTTCCAGGTTCATATTGTCATGATAATTACTATTTTTTATTTAGGTGAAAATATTAAATCAGAAACGTTCACAAAGCCGATTTTCCCTCCTCCGTGCAAAATTATGTCGGTTCCATTCTCCACCAATATGTTTGATCAATTTTACGTTGTCATCTTACCATATTCTCTTGGATACACTCTTAGAAAATATCCAGGACTTTGTCTATTTTTTTTCTATTCTCTGTTTTTTTTTTCAGGAATCTGATTTTCATGGCATTGATTATTGATTTGTGCCTTTCTGTCCAAAACCAATTCTTCAAACTATCGTTTTTATCTTCTTGGGTATCTGCCTTTTCCGAGAAACACTATTTTTATTGTATTACCTAATATGTTTCCGTTCATACCCAATCTTTTGTTGCTTTCGTATTAATGCTCTTTGTTTTTTTTTATTCCTCCTAGGTATTTAAAGTGATCTACTTGTTCTAGCTGCATTTCATTTAATCTTGCGTGATCTATCTTTATCGTCCTAGTTGTTATCGTTGTTTTTAATAACTAATATTGAACTAATAATATATTGAATATATTGAACTTACTAATATATAAACTTGTTGAAAACTCTTTATTAGAATATTCTCGGACAGAAAATTTTCGGCGGCAATTTTCTATATTTACAAAAACCGAAGCCAACTAAAAACTAGGTAGATGAGGGTAAAATTATTATAATTTCAAAAATATGTCTATTGTTTTTGCCAATTCATCTAGTATATTTTTTACATCCCAAACATTATTATTCTTGAAGCCCAAACACCTACTTGTCGCTCCGCCCATGAAACGATTTTTTGCTGAAACGATTTTTTGCAACGACAATCGCTAAAACGATTTTAGATAATATTCCCAAAAATTGAAGTAGCCGGGGAATCTCACGAACCACAAACTAGGGTTTTTACAGTGTCAGTATTATTTATTGTTTTGGACGTGCAAAAAACCTAAAAGTAATATTTGGAAATACTTTAAGATTAAAAGTTTACAAGATAGAACAATGTACTTTTGCAAATTTTGTGATAATCAATATGAAAGAAATTTTGTAGACGTGAAAAATGCAACAAAAATAACAAAACATAATATAGTAAAATGTGTGAAATAGCCTATGGGACCAAGACAATTATTTGAAAAGGATCCAAAGAAAAGTTGTTCATCAACTTTTGGAAGCGGTAAGTCCTCTTCTTCTTCTTCTTTTTATATAAACATAACTCTGTCTGTTTTTCAATGTGCCTCCATTAAGTTGTCATTCCATCGTTTTCGTGGTCATCCTACTGATTGTCTTCCTATTGGGGAACCGTCTCTTGCCGTCTTTACTACTCTATTTGTTGTCATGCGGCTTATGATAGTTCCATTTTACTTTTCTATTTCTTGCCCAGTTTTTGATGTTCTTCACCTTGTATCTATATCGTATATTTGTACTTCTAGCTCTGTATTTCTTTTATTTTAGATAAAATAAAAATAAATATTTTTATTTTGCCTCCAGCTTCAATAGGGTCAATTAGTTCTTCTTCTACTTTAACTTTTATTGTGTTGTTTTGGTAGATATTTTAGATCGTTTCGATCATTCCTAGAGGCATCCCTCTTATATAAACCGGCATAGATATGCCGGTTTGTTATATTTTTATGATTTCTCTTGCACTTGCCTCATTATTATTATAGCGTCGGTACATGATCTTCCCGACCTAAAACCTTGTTGGTCTTCTGCTAGGTTTGTAATTTCATTCAATTTACTTGTCATCACTTCCGGGTCCGATTTGTCTGCCTTTTTGAAAGGAGGTATTAGGATGCTTGATCTCCATTTTCTTTACATTTTGTCTTTACTTCATCTCTAAACCGTGTTG